GTAAGACTCAGGCATCTAAGGAGTCGGTGGAGAAGTTGAGCAAAGAGGTTGAGAAGATTGCTTCTGCTGGTGATATTCCACTAGACCTGCTCATGGAGGAGACAGCCCCATCAGCACAGGTAGCATAGCATGAGGCATCAGATGCAGTAGCTGGCCAGTCTGAGGAGCCGGTTGCCACTACACATATTGCTGAGGAGATGATCCAGATGCTCAGCAACCCCGTTGTCCCCCAGTCAGAGGATGTGGAGATCCAGTTAGAGGACACGGAGGGAGCTGCTGATCCTATGTAGTCTGAGGATCCCACTCATGTTCCTGACCCGATGCAGACAGTGACCACAAAGGGAGTTCTCTTTACTCTCTAACCTTTCCCTGATCTTATTTTGATATTAGCATTGAGTACAATGCTATTTTTTATTTTGGGGGGGGGNCTTGATTTTCTTAATGCCACGGTTCTTTCCAAAGGTGGATGTTGTGTGAATCGGGTGGCTCTTCCCAACGATGGATGGCGTGACAACCTTCTTAAGGGATTGAGTCCGTTTTCTTTTTGTTTTGGTGTATATAGTAGTAGTAATGAATAAAAGTGTCTCAAACAGGCTTCACTTGGTACTAACACATTTACCTTAGACCTCATGGTTAGAGACAAGTTGATTGGCAAAGATTAGCTCTAGTTGTGACCTTTAGACTCCTGAGTTGACTAAAACAATCATCGAGTGGTTTCCTTGTGCCATTTGTGATTTTCAATCTTAGCTAGGGTTGTTGTGGGTCCTTGACTCTGTTCTCTTTAACAATCCAGCAGCTTGAGAGGTGAGGTATTGAATTGCAAGTCCAAGTCCCGTGCCAATAAGTCTAGAACTTGTTGTCTAGGCGAAATTCTAAGTGTAGCTCGACTTGAGAAATGATTGTAGGCTCTCCTTGGTCCAATTTGAACTTTGAAAGCTTTTATAGCCTACCAATATGATATCCCTAGTCAACCCCTTTGAGCCTAAGCCTTTTTCATTCAATAGCCACATTACAAGCCTTTATCCGTTCTATAATGACCATCTCTTGGCACTCAATCTTTCCTTAACATTCATGATGAACAATTGGCAAAAGCATAAGTTTGGGGGAGAGATGAGGAATTTGGAAGTGATAAAAGGTTCAAAGAAGAAAAAGAATTGATGAAAAGGAAAGGCAAAGAAAAGGAAGAAAAGCCAAAAAGAAATACGTCAAAAAGAAAGTGAAGGTGGAAGGGATTCAAAGAACGCAATGATGAAAGGCATGGAATGATGAGAAAAGGAGAAAAATGATTGTCATGAGTAAGAAAGAGTGACGGTGTGTCTTTATGAGTGGTGATTTTACCACTCATTCTAGTCTCTTTTCTTTAGTTTTTGCGTCCTTTAATTATAATACGAGGTTGTTTATGGTGTGTATTGCTAGATTTTCAGGTAAATGATGCCATGAAGAGACTTGAATTCAAGTGAAGTGGAATTGAGCAAAAAAGAGTACAAAAGTGCAAAATCCTTCAGTGATTTCGCATCTGCGGAACACTGTCCGCATATGCGACCTCGCATCTGCGAGCTGGAAGGCCGCATCTGCGGAGTTAAGCTTCACTGGGACCGCATCTGCGGAATAAACTCTGCACCTGCGGAGTCGCTGGTGCGACTATTTTGTCCGCATCTGCGGAGGAAGGGAATTCTACATGGGCTTGCACCTGCGATGGATTATCCGCATCTGCGGAGTCGCACTTGCGCCACAATGTCCGCATCTGCGGAGTAGGCAAAATCCCCTGAGTTCACGCATCTGCGATTGAAGGCCCGCATTTGCGGAACCGCACCTGCGAGGATCTTTCCGCAGGTGCGGTCAACGGGTTTCTGACCTGGGCAGTATTGACATTTCACATTTTCTCAACTCCAAACCCACAAATACACGAGCATATCATATCTTAGAGGATCTTTGGCTTATTTTCAGTCCATATACTAGAGAGAACAAGTCTTGGAAGCTAGGGTTCTTGCACACACACTTGGGTCTTGAAGATTTGAAGCTTTTGGTTGAGAATTTGTTACTCCTTTATGCTCATTTCTTCATTTCCTTGCTTTGTATTGTATATCTAAGTGTGTAGTATTTATTTCCAACACTTGAATCTTGTTTATGAAAATATTCATATTTAAAGTGTGGATTAAATACCTTGTTGTGCTTATGTATTGAACGATTTTTATTTATTATGAAGCGAGTTGTTGTTTCTTTAATTATTCTTGTTCTTAAATGTTTCCAAAGGGATTAGCTAACCCTAGGACTCGCCCTTTCACTTCGGATTAATTTTGGAAAAAGTATTTCAGGGTTGGGAAAGATTAATTAACAAGAACTTGAGGCGTTAACCCTCACTTTATAGATTCTACCTAGGGATAGGAATGAACTACTTGTAGCCATATTCGGGTGTGCTTAATCTCTTAATTGTTTTAGGGATAATTCAATTAGGAAGTCTTGTTAGTCTTCGAGAGAAGCTAATATAGAATTATTATCCGAGACTAATAAATAATAAACTCGTTCATATTTATAAAATTGCGAAATATATTGGATCGTTACTTGAGTGTAAATCCTGATGCACCCATACTTGTAGCCATTGATCATTTTACTTGCTTTCTAGGTTAGTTTACGTTATCGCATTTAGCTATAGTATTTTCTCAACTACCATTCTAAGTGTTTGGCATTGCATAATAAGTGATAATTCTCTTACATTCCTAATCGCCTACATATTGTTCTCTATGGGATTCGACCCCGACTCATAGTTGGGTAAATTATATTGCATGCGACCGTGTCCATTTACTTTTTAGTAGTGGATTTGGACGTCATCATGTCTCTCTAGTTCTCCTAAGGAAGAAAAAAATGACTCAAAGAGTCAAGAAAGTATGAGCCGAAATGAGAAAATGGAGTACTTAAGGAAAGATGAAACCATCATAGTTCGATAAGTCCTACCTTGATCCAAAAGCCTTCATTACATCCCATTAAAGCCCTATATGATTTCAAGTTGAGTGAGCTTACATTAGTGGTGATTTACATAAGGGGCAAGCTTATGGTACTTAGAGCCGGACTTGTGGCATTCTTTTGAGAGTGATGAGCGCACTTCTTCACAATCCTTGTTTTGCGTGGTACATTCTAAAAAGTGAGATTTGCTCATGGGGAGTAGAGGGGGAGTTTGGAATCCACAATGACCTACGTGATAGAGCGAGCTTCCTTGATGAATTGAGTCAACTCTTAATGCTCTAGTGTCACATTAGAACTATAGTACTCAAAAGGTCATAACATGATGTTGTTGATAATTCATTTGTGTTGAGGGTAATTGTTAGTCTCAATTGATGCTTGATGGAGTCACCTTAGGCCAGCTGAAATATCCTTTTCTTTTTCTTGTGGAGGTGGGAATTACCTTATTTGCTCGAAAACAAGCAAAAGCTTAAGTTTGGGGGAGTTGATAAGTAGGGATTTTAACATATTATTTGCTCTCTTCTACTTGTGTTTAGGGCCAAAAATGCGTGAAGGTATTCCTGGAAACTAATATAATATGCTTGCTTGCAGGGATTATTCAAAATGAGCCAAATGAGTCATAATCAACTCATAAAGGAGTCAAAACTTGAACAAAAACCAAGACTGGGTCAAAAGATGTGAAACGAATATTGTGCGGCCGCGAAAGCTACAACGCGGTCGCGAGCACTATTTCGAGGTCCGCGAAAAGAAGATTCAAAGAGATGGATTTTTGGGCCAAAACATGAACGCGGACCGCGTCAGAAAGGTGCGGCCGCGAAAGTACCTGCGCGGCCGCGATTGGAATTACGCGGACCGCGGTTGCTGAGGTTCCGAGAGCTTACATTTTAAGCAAAAACAAGAAGTGCGGTCCGCGTCAAGATTATGCGGCCGCGGAAGTCTCATACGCGCCCGCGATGGAAATTACACGGTCCGCGAAACCATGCTCAACCCAGATCCAGAAGTGAATTATGCGGCCGCTAAAGCAAGAGTGTGGCCGCGGTCAGAATTACGTGGCCGCGTAACCTCCGCAGGTGTATTTTTGTCCGAAAATTTCAGTTTAGTATAAATAGAATTTTTTGTCATTTTTAAGGTATGGTGTATTTTGCTGAGCACGTGAGACAGCTGGAACTTCCCTTTTGGGCAATTTTATATTAGATTCACCTTATAACATTAGATTTTCATCTTTTAATCTAGTATTATGAATTTTATCTTCTTTTCATCTTTGATTTCTGTTATTTCTATGAGTAGCTAGACCCATAGCTAGGGTTGTCACCCAACCCTAGTGTGGGTATTTAATGGGTACTAAATTTTAGGGCTTGAATGTTTATAGGTTAGTGATATTTAGCCTAGTTCTTGCTGGAATTGTAGAATTAGTGGTTGCAAACACTGATTCATGCCTCTTTATGACTTCGTCTCTTAACGCCTCAGTGCTTGCACTAAAGCACCGCTTAGACGACCAGCCTTGTTGCACTGAGCTTCAAGGCTTAAGCATGCCTGAAGCAGGCTTTTAAGAACACATGCTTATCATCCCTGTGTTATGAGATTAGAAAGGCATCAATGTCTAATTTCGTGGCTCTGCAACAACTGAAACCTTCAATTATTTCTAAAATGAATTTTTAACACTTTTTGCATATATAGGTAAAATATTACTATATAAAATATATTGAACACCCTTTGTCGGGTTTTCTTTACATCTTTCAAGTTTGAACACACTTAAGAAAATTTCTGGCTTCGCGACTGTACTAACCCATACGGCCAAAAATAACTACTCCGATATACTGCTAATCATGAATAGTACAGCTTGTGCGGTCTTCCATTAAATAGTTGAGCCCCTACCTATCTAATATCTATCATCCCAAAAAAGTAACAGAGAAAAAACTAGGTGATTTTTTTTCCACTTGGACAGAGTTACCTAATACCCGCTCGTGCCATGAGCAGGCGACGAACACCACGGTTATGTTTAAAAGAAAGGAAAAGAGAAAAGAAAGGAATTAGAGACTAACCAAAAGCACAGCTTGTACACAGGTCCTGAGTCCATAAGTATCGTAGCTGAAACCAAACGATAGGGAAATCAAATGCAAGAGACTAAAAGAGCTAGAAAACAAAAAATAAGAAGAAGATAAATTAAACATACTTCAATTTCATGCGTAGAACGCGATCAGCTAAAGTCTCTTCCTTAAACTGAACAGCCTCTTTTGAACCAAAATAGTAATGATTCAGTGGGTAAATGTTCAATACGTTACTACTATTAACAGCACCACCACTTGAATAAACACCGCCGTTTTCCTCAGCCGTTAAGAAACTATGATCGCCCATTGATTTGAACTGAGACGAAGCACAAGCGAGAGATCAAAAAACAAGTGTAAGTTGAATGAAAAGGAAGATACGGGAAAGAACAGAGGTGGTAATTTTCAGACTTACTTATAGAAGAAAAGTGTTACGTGGCTGTTCCAGAGAGGGCTGGAGGTTGAAAGCTGAAATGGCAAAGACTTTTGAGATGACGAAAAGTGATGAGGTGGCAGTATTGCCTTCTAGAAAGACAAGAGATTGGGATTTCCACGGGGTAAGTGCAAAGATAGCCCATTTTGGGTCTACTATTTAAGTCATAGTAGTTAAAGTTTATAACTTTTTGCAAGTCATTTTGAAAACAACTTCCGATATACGCAACATAGAGTTTGGCATATTACTTGTGCAAACAAATTTCCAACAATCACGCATGAAATTTGGGCTCTAATAATCGAGCCTCAAATTTGGTTAAAATAGCACGGACTAGCCAATTTTCAGACTGGTCATTCAAAAATAGCCAGCATTTGTCAAATCATTGAAAAATAACTATTATTTTGCTGCAACAGAGACCGGTCCAGCATAATATACTGGAGTTCGGTGCACCTGTATATGAACTTCCAGCATATTATACTGGATCGGTATACTTTGCTGGCTCCAGTATAATATACTGGAATTCCAGTATATTATGCTGGAGTATTTTCCGGATTTTGAGCAGTGTTTTTGTTCAGATTTATCTTTACATGAAAAGTGGCTAAATTTCGATACTTTTTGAAACTGTGACTATTTTTGAATGACCATTTGTAAATCTGACTATTTTTGAATTTCTCCTGAAATTTGGCTTGCCAAGGCCAAACTTCCAACATATGCACGTAAAGTTTGGGATAATTGCATAAAAATACAGATCACATAGGTGCTTTTCATCCGCATAGCCATCATTTTATATTTTCATCTGTATAGCCAATGAAACTCTCATAATATGACATCATCGCCTGGATATAATTTTGGAACAATTACACTTTATATTACCCGACCCAGTTCTATAATTATAAAGAGTCTATATTTTGGAATTTTACCTGCTGAGACCCATATTATATATATCTTGAAATAAAAGTTTCAATGTTTAACCCAAACAATCTTCATTCATCTCTTCTATATTTTTTCCTCTTCTTCTCTCCACTCCTGTGGCCACCTCTCCTAAGTTTGTTATGAAGTCAAGATTTTGATATTCAAACCAAAAGAATAATACAACTACAACAATGAAACTTCATTGAAAGGTGGCCACAACTACAACAATCAAAATCTCGATTTCATAACAAACTTAGGAGAGGTGGCCACCGGAGTGGAGAGAAGAAGAGGAGAAAATATAAAAGAGATGAGTGAAGATTGTTTGGGTTAAACATTAAAACTTTTATTTCAAGATATATACAATATGGGCCTCAGCGGGTAAAATTCCAAAATATGGGCTCTTTATGGTTATAGAACTGGGTCGGATGATATACAGTGTAATTGTTCCGTAAAGTTTTGATTATCAATGCCAAATGTTCAACAATCGCGCTTAAGTTTGAACTTGCTGAATAAATTTTTGTGAAGTTTGAACATACATGCCAATGTTTTCAAGCTTTTCCAACAACACTTGATTAAAATTCATTTTTCTTCCTTCGAAATGTAAGACTCACTTTTTCAAGCTTGCAACGACGATGCATTTGCCGATATTTCCGAGAATTTTCAATAATAATTTTTATTTTTTGAAATTCAAGAATCACTTCTTAAAACTTGCAACAATGCTGATTTGCCACTTTATGATTAATAGTCATTTTTCTGATTGCCAATTACGATTTAGCTACAATTTTAAAAGTAAATAAAATTCAACCATTTTATAACAAATTGGACAAAATGCCTCTAAACTAAAAGCAGAAAACTTATTTTCTTCTTCTTTCCAGTTTCCGCAACTCTAATCTCGTTTTTAACCAAAACCCAACAGCACAGTGATTGACTCAATCTGCCACGGTATTTGATCCCTCACGGCTGAAAACAATGACGGACCTAGGATTTTGTGCGAGCGAGTTCAATCTTAGAAGTACATAATTTTAGTCGTAAAATAGTAGTTGTCAAGTGAGTTCAAATAAAACATTTATACAAAATTTATGCAGCTTTAATCCTAATTTATACATATACACGGTATTAGTTTTTGATGAACAAGGGTTCAGTTGAACTCGCTTACCACCACGTGCATCCACCAATGGCTGAAAGGCAGGGGTGGAGCTAGCATAGGATTTGCGGGTTCGACTGAACCCAGTAACTTTGGTCTAAACTATGTATTTTTCTTTAAAAGTTTATTAAAAATATATAAATTATTAATTTAGAATTCTGTAAAATAAACAAACTAGAATGAAGAATCTTGAACCCACATGCTTCAAACCCCGGCTCCGACTCTTAAATGCATCAATCAAGCTCCGCAAAAAAATCCCTACTTTTGAAGAACTTGTAAATCACTTTTAAAAAGGTTGTGTTTTGTTTAAACTTCTCAAAATTTAAATGGCGAAGTCTTTAGCTTATTTGTTTCTTGTTGCACTAAGAAAGCCGCATTAATTTAAATTTCTAGGAATTCTGTTAGTATAGAATGATTTTGATGGCTTTCGTTTAATTTATGTTGCTCCTTTACTTGCTGCTTAACAGCTTGTTTGGATGGTTGTTATATATTGTTTCATAATCTATCGTATTGTATTTTATTATATTATATTGTTTTGATGTATATAATATTTGGATAAATTGTGTTGTTTGTCGTCGTTTTATGATGTTATGCACCAACAATATGAAGAATAAACTTGTAATATTACGAAGAAAAAATAAGGTACGAGATAGAATTATTATATAAAAAGATAGGATAAATGATAAAATAAGATTATTTAATAATAAGGGAAAGATGAGAAAAAATAAAGTAACAACGTGACTACACCAAATTGATCGTTACACAAAGTGACACTTTTCGTCGTTAGATAATGACAGGCTTAACTATACGATACAATAAAATTTAGGTAACAATCAAAACAAACATCGTATTTAAAGTAATAATATGAAACAATATAATAGGTAACAACCATCCAAACAAGCTGTAAATTTATATGATTTAATGTGGGATGACCTGCTTATCAACAGGTCAGTCAATATCAATAGGGATCCTCTAAAAAAATTGCAGAAATATAACACTTTTGTTTTTAACTTTTGACTCCAGCTTGCCCCACGAGCAGTACTTCAAGGTTAAAAGTTAAAAATATTACATATGGGGCAAGCGAAGGGCAACACTTATTAAACTTGAAGTTCTGCTCATGGAGCAAACGGAGAGAAAAATTCAAAACCATCCACTTTAAGGACTATTTATATACGTCACCCGAATCCTGTTGCCTAAAAAAGTCAGCCCAACATGGACAATGATATGCAGACCAAAGATTTATGCGGTCGTTGTGTGCTTATTGCGCACCAGCATAGCAAAATTCGAATCCGTTGGCTCAGATGAGTGGTTCTTGGCTTCCTGAACATGTCTATATTGTTGCTTTTTCACTACCAATTAGTAGGCATGCAAGTGATTGGAATAAGGTCTGTTACAGGCATGTGAACATGCTCATACAAGCATACGACTCCATGGAGGAGGAGGCCAAATTTGAAGGTTCAGAGAAACAAATTGTTCTGGATTGTTCACAGAATCAAACTCCATGAAAAAATGCTGGAGACTATGGCTGTTCAAAACGCCATGAAAATTCGAACTCCAGCACACACTGCCACTTTTCGAACTCCATCAAAAAATCTTGTAATTTAATCTATAGCAGCCCAAAACTACATGAAAAAATCCTATTCGAACTCCAGCACACACAGCCACAATTCACCACAACTACACTACTCAAACTAATAAAAAAAGACAACACTTTTAACCAATTAAAAATTCTAAGATTATCAAAAAAGACATCATTTTCGACCACAACAAAACTCGGGATTATCAAAAAGACATGAGTAAAGTGAAGTTAAAATCAAATTGGAATCTTCAGCACTTTATCTAGACTGATTATATTGTAATAATCCTTCTCAGGCCATAATCAATATCTGCCTCTCGGATCATCTCATCCACCTCTTCATCAGTCAGGTTTCTCTCCAAGGTTTGTCAATACATGATGAAACTGAAATGAAAATGTAGATATAAGATGCTAAGAATTGGCTGTCCACAATATGAAATAACGACTAGCATGTCAAATTGCATTTTCCTCATAATTACTTGCAGAAAACAGCCACGATTTGGATCATAAAAGCAAAGTCGGCATCCACACTAGTCAAATAAGTCCAAATTGTCTATAAGATCAATTTTCAACGAGGAGGCATCTGAAAAAGAACTTGAGAAAACCTGACAACATCACAACTATCTCAACAGCACCAAATAAGAAAGATTGTAACATAATATTAAAATAGCTAGAATTCCTATACCTTCATCTTCCGCGCCATCGGATTCAAGAACTCTGAAAAATCAATGTTGATCAGCATCAACTTTGCTGATCATATCCTGTAGTTCAGCTTCAGTGGGATTTTGACCAAGTGCTCTCATCACTGTTCCCAACTCCTTGGTAGTAATAGAGCCTATAGAAGTAAACTTCAGATCACATCTAGAGCTTTCGATTTTGCTCATGGCACATAGGTCAAGTAGTGTCCATTTATTGAGCAAAATAATTACCAGAACTTCAGAAAAACGTTCATTACTAACAGAATAGTTAATTTTACATCAAGATGAAACAATAATCCCCACATAAAGGAAATTTGTTTTCTTGGACTGCAATGATAATACAGACAACCAACTGCAGAAAGGCAATGTGTACACCAAAATATATACTTTAAACAGAGAGATCAAGATTCGAGATCAACTCAACAAGTGGCCTCTATTAATCCATTCCCATATACAAAGAGTCGTGCATCTATGTGCACTAAGTTTGAAAACAAGCAGCCTGTCACAGAACAGAGCAAAATAGAACTCATTATTCAACCACCAAAAGTTAAATATCTAACAGGCCTTCACAATTATCTAACTAGAACAATTAGCTATTTTCCTCAACAATCTGGTAATATCATCAT